GTGCCGATAACGCATGCAACTCCATTGGTGCTTCACAGCACAGGTCTGGATGGAACCAAACAAGAAGGCGTCTGGGAGGATAAGGAAGTGAGGAAAAGTAAACACATCTGCACCGTGATTTCCAACATGAATACCGGTTTTCGCAGGCAAAACACGCGAGCCTCCTCACGTACGACGCGCTGCAGAACGTCGTGTCTGCGATGGAAAAATTGCAGAGAAGACCCCCGTTCAGTTCATTAAATGAAGAAAGAGAATGAAGTCGTTGTTAGTTGATCTCCACCAATTGATCCACATTGGATCCACGCTCTGATCGGGGACATCCAACCCTAATATGGTTGTTAGGCCCCGTCGCACAACGCCATAAATAGGAGGTGGGGGCCGAGGGCGCCAAGCACGAGGTTTGCTTGAGCCGCCTAGCACCCCACCTACAGTCCTAAACCCTAACCGATCACAGAGGGGGCGCTGCCAGCGACGGAGAAGCACCGCCACCGGCCAACACCGCCACTACACCGCCGTCCTTTGACACAACACCGCCACCGGGACTTCACCAAGCACCGCGATGGCGAGCCCGTCTTCCTCCAAGACGGTCGATGGTTTGCACCCCCTTCATCCATCTCTTTCTCACTCTATTTATTAATCCATTACTCCTAGATGCTTCTAGGACTCACGGTTTATTCCAAGTGCAAGTAGACATGCTAGATTTATGGCTAGAGATCCTGCTTTAACTCTATCAATAGTATCAGACGCCTAACTAGGTGTAGATCTAGCCTATCGGATGAGAAAACCAAGTAGCAGCTAGAAGGAGGTCGTAGATTCATTTTCGGATCTAAACAGAGGGTTCATTGAACCCTAAACCCAAAATCGGGGAAGAAAAGAAGTGAGGAAGGGCCTCGGGTTTTGAAAAGCAACTCAAAGCCGAACCCTAACCCGCGAATCAGACTCGGGGAAGAAGAACAGTGAGCGAAACCCTAACCCTAACCAAATCCTAATCCCCAAATCGGACAAATCCGAGAAGAACGAAGCTAGATCTAGACGGAGAAGAAGAAGGGAAAAGGGGGAAGAGGCCTACCTCGCCGTGCACCACGCTGCTGCCTCGCCGACGCGCAAGAAGAAGGCCGAGTGGGGCAGCTACTCGTCGGTCTTGTGCGAGCTCCGACCAAGGGCGACGTCGCTAGTCCACTCGACGACGGCGCGTTCACCCTCGTGGGGAGCGCGCGCGCCGATGAGGGGGCCGGCAACGGCGCCATGGTCTCTCCCTTCGCTCGGTCGCCGCCGCTGCTCGTTGCGCTGAGAGAGAGGAAAGGGAAGGAGAAGAATGAACTTAGGGTTTGGGGTGCGGCCGGCCGGGGGTGGGGGGGTTGATCTCCCGATGACGATGGCTGGCCGTCGGATCTGGATGAACGGTTGCCATTCACTGGACCAAAATCGGCCCAAGCGGGCGAGCGCGGCGGGCGACTTTGCCGGCCTAGGCCCAGGTTGCGGCCTAGGCGTGGGGGAGGTACCGCGAGCGCGCGCGCGAGCTGCTGCAGCAGGCCGGGCCGCACACTGTTGCTGCTGGGCCGTTTATTGTTACTGCAGGCCGGGCCAGAATGAACAGCAAAAAATGATTTGAAGTTTATGTAATTTTCAAAATCAGATTTGAATAAATTTTGAAGGTTTAAAATTTCTGGTAAAATTACACCAACATGTTACTTTTTTCAGAAAGTAGATATGAACAAGAAAATTCTTCTGAAAAGTAGATAATTATTATTTATTCATGTTTTCGCTGCAATGTTAAAGTTTATAATCTTCTAATTAAATTCGAACCAACGGGAGAATTTAATTTCAAGAGTAGTCAATTTTAATCAGTAAATTATAATATTATTATTTTTCTGACCAACGTTGATAATAGCAATATTATAATGTTTAATTATAAGTTTTCTATGCATTAATTTTATTTCTGCCCAACAGTGATGTAGAATTAGTGTATAAGAATGTTGTATGTTTTAATTTTGACCAACGTTAAATTAAAACATGCAATTATAATATCACATTTTCTCACTATCTCTGACGGTGTTTTTCAGGACTCAACCCAATGGCATTCATCTCGCACATACCACCTCTAGAAGGGGTCAATTACAGAGTATGGCGAGAGAAGTATGAGCTCGCACTTGCGCTGTCCGAGATTGACTTAGTGCTTACCTCTCTGTGTCCTACTGAGCCAGTGGACCCGGTGAGGGCAGAAAACGAGACTGATGCTGATTTCACTGCTCGGCAGCGAGATCATGCAGAAGTTAGAATGAAATACGATCTTGATCGGAAGAAGTGGGACATCTCAAACCGTAAGTGCTTGATGGTGGCCAAGTCCACTATTTCAGATGCTATAAGGGGTCTATCCTAGACCGTGATACCGCCACGGAGTATCTAAAGAAGGTGAAGAGTCAGTTCACTGGCTCTTCAAAGACTTATGCTAGTACATTGATCAAGAAATTATTCAATGAAAAATATACTAGTGGCGGTATCAGAGAGCACATTTTGAAGATGAGCAACACGGCTTCGAAGCTGAAGCCAATGAATTTGAGGCTCAAGGATGAGTTTCTGATTCATTTGGTTTTTGCTTCCTTGCCAAAGGAATATGAAACCTTTGTTGTTAACTACAACATGCAGCCCAACAAGTGAGACATAGAGAAGCTCATCATAATGTGTGTTCAAGACGAGGAAAGGCTGAAGTCCTTACAGGGTGACTCTGCTAACCTTGTGAAGGATAAGAAAAAGAACTTCAATTAGAATGCCAAACCTCAAGGAAAAGCCCCTCAGACTGAGCACCATCCGAAGAACAACAATACTCAAGTTGAAAAGGATCAGTGCAAATGGTGCAAGAAACATGGACACTACCAGAGGAACTGTCCAGACTTCCTAAAGAACCTTCAGAAGAGATGTAAGGATTTCATTACATTCATAGATGAATCCCTGTATTTAAATTATACAAAATCTACTTGGTGGATTGATTCAGGTGCAACTGTTCATGTTGCAAATCTCTAGGTAAGGACATGGCGCTCCACATCTGAAGGCCTAAATGGCTAAATCTCTAGGTACATACACCAGATCCGGAATTTGAATCGCAAATCAAATATAGAAACCCAAAATCGAAGGGGAAAATCCCAAAGTAGAGCAACCCATATATCAATCCATAAACCCTACGCAAGAAATTGAAATGAGGCAGCCCACATCAATCCACGGCAATCACATAATAGAGATAGTTATAGCGGGAAGGGTGGGTGGAGATGAGCAGATAGGCAAGGGCGAGGTCTAGACAGGGAGCGCCGTCGACGGCTCTGCTTCCACCGTGCTGAGCCACTGCCGGCGGCGGCGAGGATGAGGCAGTTAGGGTTTCGTTGAACAGCCGCGGACTACCATGAGGATGCAGCGCAGCCACGGCGACGGTCACCGGCGGGCCATGCACCGCGTGCCGAGGGCGCCGCCACTCCGGGAGAGAGAGGGAGAGGGAGGGAGAAGGAGAGAGAGAGAGAGAGAGAGAGAGAGAGAAGAGGAGGGGGAGCCCTGAGGCAGGCACCGAGGACGGCGAGGGCGGGGCATAGCCCGAGCCCGCCTCGCTGCTTGCTGGTCGCTCATTTCCGCCTGCCCCGCTTCTCTTTCACATTTCACGCCATGGAGTGAGCTGCGGAGCTGGGGCGGCGTCTGTGGCGACGGCGGTTTTTAACGCTTGAGACGAGAGATAGCTTCATGGGCGGGGCAAATCGTGAGGGATTTCCTTTTACACGACGCCTTAAGGTTGTCCTTCTGACGGCATCGCAGGAAGGCGGATCGCTCGTTTCCTTTTACACGATGCGCGGTATCGTAGGGAAGGAGCGGACCGACGGAACGATGATTGTCGCACGAAACGGTGGTCTTACTTTCTTTCTTTTTAGTTGTAGGAGATGATAGAAATTAAAAGTAATGATCTCATATTTCCAGGTTTTCTAATGATTATAAATTAACTAAATGTAAATTGAGAAGAGAATATCAGAAAGAAAAATTAAACCTATAATTTATTAATGCGATGGCTATTATAATTCCTGGAGAATAAAATAGTATTTATATCTATGATGTATTATCTACCTCTATAATATAAAGAAAAGGTTTTAAAAATTCAAGAATGCAATTGGTAATTAAGGGAAGTTATTTTGGTGCCGCAAATAAATTCCAGAAAAGCAATCATACAAGCAAACATTCGAGCATTCAAGCAATCACGCAAGCGTTCAAACATACACTCAAGCAACCAAAGCGCAGGCAATTTAAATGCGAAGCGATTCTCTGATCCTAGAAAATATTCCTAAGGCTACAATTAAATCCTACGCGACACACAAATGCATATGGTGGATTTTTAATGCAGGGTTTTCGGAAAACATTTTTAAAACGGTTTTGCGAAAAATAAACTAATCAAGTTTTAATTTGTTGTAAATTTTAAAAAGTTTAAATTTTTAGTGGATTTTAACATGATGCAAAAACACGGGTGTTACACTCAAATATAAGATAGTATGACTCTTGCACCAAAATCAGAAACAGTATAATAGCTTGATGGTGAAGTCTCTTATCTCTGAATCTAAATATAAAACACATCCGTTCGAATCCAGTCCTTGTATTTGATTTTTCTAATTTACACCAACCACATCACGTACGTGGGAGAAAAAACTAAACAGGAAAAATCAAGTTCGAAAATAAAACGAAAGAGTCCGTGGAGTATAACAATAAAAAATGAGGTTTAGGTAACCAAAAAAAAAATGATCGGTGTCCCTTTATTGCCCATACCAGGACGTATATGGCCTCTTTTTTTTTTAAGTTACGCGGAATCCGATTGGACTAGCTACTGCTGGCTGCCTTGACTTACTAATCCGTTTTGTATACGTTTTGTTATCACAAACAGAACACGAGGCTCATTGGGTGTGGCAGCTCCTAATACATTTCCTAAACTTTAACTGCTGCTTAATACTAGTCGCCGCGACCACCGACCGATCGATCGGATGACGTACTGGTGGCTGGTGCTATATATTGTCATGCTAGGTCTGCTCGTCTCGTCCGGCTATATCGACCCCCTGCAGCCTCCGCTTTGCGTAATTGCGTGTTTGAGTGTTCACAATATGGCACGAGTTTTAGCCTATGGTGGAGCAGCAGCCGCAGCTGGCTTCGGCCCGCCGTGGCTCGCGGTGCTCGGCATGGCCCTGCTCTCCGTCTGGGCGATCACGCTCGCCGTCCTCCTCTGTGGCGACAACAGCTCGGACAAACCCAGACCAAGATACAACGGTGCTGCCACTGCAGCAGTTATTGGAGGTTCATTAGCTTGTGGCGGTGGAGGCGGCTGTGGTGGCGGTGGAGGTGGCTGTGGTGGCGGTGGTGGCGGCGGCTGCTAGAGTTCATCGCATCGGATGCGTCAGCAGCATCAGTTGCTGATTGCTGTGCAGGTCAGCAGGATGCGAGAGTACGTGCTTATGGATATTTACTTGTTTTTAGTAATCGTCATGTGATTAATATGTACTTTCTGCTGGTGCTATTAGCATGATGTAATGTTAAATAATGCTATTATGTATGTGCTTATTAGTTTTTGCTTGTTGTCAACTTCTCTGCTGGTGCTATTAGCATGATGTAATGTTAAATAATGCATGGAAGATCATCTTTGAATTCGTACTCTTATCTATATATACACTTGGAACCTCTATGCGCAAGTGTTTTTACCCTCTACTCGTTCTTCTCCTGGTTCATTTGGAAGGAGCACACAACCGCCGTGTCTTGGACGCGGTCACCAAGTTGCCGTGTCTTAGGTTCATTGGGGCTATTGTCAAATCAACTAGTTAAGCAGTATATATGTAATGATAGGTTCGAGCAGATATCTTCAACACTGAAATTACACCCCAAGTTCGTGGTCCACCAATATGTTGGAAACTGCTAGGATTCAAGCTCGCGAGGAAACGCGAACGATCTCTGGTTTATTTTGTTGCTTTCATTGAGGCTATTGTCAAATGAACTAGTGTAGTGATGTGGGTTCTCTGATCAAACAGATACACACGCGTGTGTGTGCGTGTGAGTGTGGAGTGTATGGGTTGTGTACGTCCAAATTGTACCTGATAAAAAAAAACTAGTGTAGTGATGGGTTCGACTGTTTGATCAGAGAACCTATGGTTTTACATGGCAAATAATGCTCAAACGAAGCAGAGAACTTTGTCGGAGAAATCTTGATGATAAATTTGATGACCCGAGAACAGTTGAGCTAGCCAGACAAGCCCAAACCACCAATCTAATAAAGGATCAAAACTTGTACCTGTGTTTTTCGGATGTAAGGGTTCTTGCAAGTTGCCTCAAAAGCGCTAGGGCAGCCAAAGGTATGGTCGAGGTCTGTCCGCGCTCCTCCTGCTCTACAACAAAACTGCAAATTCATCGTTCACCTATTTGATCATATTGATGAATTCAGGGTGCTCGTTGTATGATGAGACACCATATTCATCATCGTTAGATGAAAGTTGTCCGGACTCTCTAGCCAGTACTTCTGACCCTGTGTGAACAGTGCTTTCTATTAACGTCGGAAGTCCCGAGATCTGCGTCGGAACTTCCGACGTAGATCTGAACGGTTAGATTTCTATTGAGAGTATAAATACCTCTCTCTTCACTTCTAACCGTTACGGACTCATTCACAGTTGACCCAACTTCGTTCTAACAGCTCCCAAGCAACAAGAGCACCCCTCTCCTCCCTCCTTTGCTCCAATCTTCGATTCCCTTAGGGTTTTAGGTGAAAGGAGAGTGGATTAAGTGAGAGAATCACTTTGGCAAGCTTGAACACTTGATTTCTTCGTCAAGCCGGTTGGTTTTGCGTCTATTACTCTTGGGGCTTTGTCCCTAGCCGGCTAGGCGTTGTCCAAGAGCTTTCATCTTGTGGAAGAGCATTGGGAAGTTTGTATTGCCCTTCGATTTCTTAGTGGAAAGCTCAAGTGACCTTTATGGTCGCATTGAAAGAGGCAAGGAGGTGGAAGAGACTCCGACCTTGGAGGTCACCTCAACAACGAGGACGTAGGAGCTCCTTTGTGGGGTTGCCGAACCTCAGGATAAATCCTTATATCCCGTGTGCTTGTTGTTGTGATTGCTAGAGATTATTTGTATTTGTTTGTCTCTTTCTCTCCTAAACTTTATTTTAGGGTTTGGACTCGATCTACGGTTTGGAGGCATTACGGCGTCAAGGGAGTGACCCAACATGTTCACCAAACCACTAGGAAGTGGTGTTGTAAGATTATTTATCCGCAAAGTTAAATTTGGCAATGCTTTTGTAGTTCACGTAGGCGTCGGAATTGATGACGTTTGTGCCGGAACTTCTGACGACATCGGGAGTTCCGACCTAAACGCCGGGACTTCCGACATTAATTGACAAATTTGAACTTAGCATTTGCAGTTTATTTTTAGATTCGCCTATTCACCCCCTCTAGGCATTGTTAGATCCTTTCAAGCTCATAGAGGAAATCACGGGCGGGTGGCCAGCAGTAGCGGGGGAGTTGAGCTCATGGAGGAAATCACGGGCGGGTGGCCGGGCGTCAAGCAGTGGAGCACCCCCCCCCCCACCGCGCGCGGTAGGCTTCCTGGTGCTGGCGACGAGAGGCGGGATGGTTCGTGTTCGCATGAAAATTTTGAATTTCTCGGTGCTCTCTGTTGCGTCAGAGTTGCGTGTAGCGTTTGAAATTCTCCGAGACACACAAGTTGCGTGTAATTAATTTGGTGGTAGAGGGGCAGAAGTGACAATTTGTACCTTACCTTAATCTATGCTAAAGTGGTCGGAACATCTTATAAATTGATATGGAGGGAATATGTAATAATAAATAGTATACAAAGATGGTCTTTAAAGCATCCGGCAAATTGAGGAACAAACCATTTGACAGTTGTCACAAGCCCAGAACTACACCACCGTTGTCCCAGATGCCAGCTCCCAGTGTCACCCAAAACGCCTCAGAAGATTGAAGCTTTTTGTAGGGGCGTAAGCCCCTCCTGTTCCCTCAAAAAAAAAAAAAGATTGAAGCTTCTTGTTGTGTTGCCTTGCCGGTGTCTCACCTAGTTACCTCCAGACAAACCAACAAATGCAAACACCTGTTTCTGTTTTTCACAACAGACGGAGATGAGAAACACCGCCTGGTTCAGAAATCAGCATTTGTAGAGCAAGACATGCTCTAAGAGGAAAGCATCAATTACAAAGTACCAATATAATTACACAGCCAGATCAAATAGCCCTCTAAAATCTATTTCAAGTACCATAGGCGGGTTCGAAAAATTGCAACAGTCATGATGGATTGAGAACACCCTAGTGTTAATCAGTTCAACAGAAAAGAAAAACAATTCGGATCTCCTGAAGAAACGCGAGCATACAGTCTAATGGCAGGAAAAAAATCCATCCAAGCACATGCCTAGAGTACCTCATCATCTTTCACTTTCTTTCACAGCATCAGCCCGGATGCTCTCTTTCAGTTTAAAAAGTCACAAAAAATCCCTAGAAGAACTCAAACTCTAGATAATTATCTGGACCCTTTCAGCCCAGATGCCGCAAGATGATTTCTCCTATGGTTTGAGTTGTTTCATCTCTTCTGTTTTTGATGTGGTGGTAATTGATTGTTTCATGTTGCGTATTGTTGATTCAAGATGTCCATAGGTTTTTTGTTTGATATTTTCGCTTTGGAGAAGCTACAGTTGTTTCAATGGTTGACTATAACATTGCAGTAATTCTCTATTGCATTGCAATAGCTTTTCTCTCATGTTTCATATGGTGTTTTGAGATGTTGCAATATGTTTTAATGACATAGCTACATGTCCCTCTGTCATGTGTCATTTTCGTGTGCTCCTGATATTTTTAGTTGCGAGGATCTTTCCAATCGATGGGTTTCGACTTTCAAAGTCGTGGAGACTTGAGAACAAGACGTATTGTCGTACTGACTACGAGTCTATGACCACAACCACATCCAGTGCCGATAACGCATGCAACTCCATTGGTGCTTCACAGCACAGGTCCGGATGGAACCAAACAAGAAGGCGTCTGGGAGGATAAGGAAGTGAGGAAAAGTAAACACATCTGCACCGTGATTTCCAACATGAATACCGGTTTTCGCAGGCAAAACACGCGAGCCTCCTCACGTACGACGCGCTGCAGAACGTCGTGTCTGCGATGGAAAAATTGCAGAGAGGACCCCCGTTCACTTCATTAAATGAAGAAAGAGAACGAAGTCGTCTCTTCGCGAGACGACGCCACGACGGCGAGTGGAGGAGTGTTGTACGGAGGAGTTTTCTGGAGTCGACGTCGCGCGGATCAGCTGGGCGCGCGCGATGAATATTACGCGCCAAAATCCGTCCCGCTCGAGCTCCCTACGAGCGCACGCACAGGCAGGGTCGCCGCCGGGCTGCCATGAGCGAGCGCCGCCGAGCCCCTACACGCGAACCGCCGCCGGTTGGGCCTGCTCGAGCGACCACGCACGAGCTGCCGCAACATCTCCAATTTGGAGCTATCACGATTTCCTGTACACATGTGCTACCGTAACGTCTCCAATTTAGAGCTAGTAGTACCGTTTCATGAAACTTTTCTGGGTAATCTGCAGATGCATACGATCCACTCGATCCGAATGGGAACATAACAATAAAGTGGGACGTAATACAGTGGACTCCAGATGGCTATGTGGTGAGTGAACGATTAATGTGTGTGTGAAGCTGCTTATACCATCATTGAAAAAATTCGAGTGCATGTCGCTGTTGTTACAAAAGTCTGCATATGCTCTCATAGTCCTTTCAGAAGTGGACAAGATTATTCTACAAGACTTTTCGTTTATGCCAGTTATCCCATCTTACTAGCCTTGGGTCTTGTTGGCGGTATTCTGCTTTCTCTGTCATTCTTTTGCATCAGGAAACCCCATGTCCTCTGTTATATTGTCATTCTGCTCTGTCGGTCTTTGCCCATTGGGCACTGCAGTACTTCCTTGATATGCTTACAGTGGAATCAAGGCTGCAGCCTGACGAGCATAGTGCCAATGACTTCTTTTTTCAAGCATAGAACTAGTAATTGGAAATACATGTTGTTAACAGATACACTGAATTGTGCAATTTGATTAGCTAATCAATGAACTAGGAATTGGAGCATCTCTGAATATATCAGCTCATCAAGTAACTGGACGCAATGCATTTGAGTTGTATAAGCTGTCAGAAAGATGCAGCTCTGCTCTTGATCTTTTATCACATTATTGACAGAAATGGTTTGTGCGGGTGGATCCAAGTCTATCAATAGAGGAGTGAGGAAGAGAGAAATGCAGAACCTATACCTGTAGCATCAGAGTCATCACCTTCATCTTGAGCTAGAGCATCGACATCCTGGTGGGCTGCAGCCTCACCAGCTCTAGCTCAGAAGCGTCTTCTGGATTTCCGCCTTCGTCTCGACCTTCATCAGGAGCTTCAGGGCGCTCCTCTGCTCCTGGCTGATTCACCGGTGCAGCACCAGTGACAAAATCCTTCCCCAGGAATCCGCTGCGGCAGGGCTGGTGAAGCTGCGCCCTCACTGGTGCGGATGGCACATCTTCAATGTCAATTTTTTTTCCCTGTGTATAGTGTGTAATATTCAGAGATGGTGGATCAGAGTTAAACCTAGTTCATGCCTATCTACATACGCATTCTTCTTTTCAGTTTTTCCAGTTATAGGCTATAGGTTCTTTTGGGAGCTCACAACATTCAGAGCACTAGCTAGCCTGATTGCAACCACATTTGCTATTCTTTACATGCTGCGTGGATCTGCTGTTTCTGTTTTTCTACGTGAGACTCTACTTGAGTTGTTCTTTCTTGAGTATACGTGTTCTTCTGCTACTAATTGTACTGCCTGTATGAACATGTCTCTGATTTGAACATGTTGCCCATAATGTGAGTTCGGTCCTTCTGAGCCACGGCAAGATTTCTGACCTGTGATGCATGTTTTTATGTTAGTTTTCTTTGTATCTAGAAGTAACACAACATGGTATATAGGAATCATACTCATACAGTCATACTTGATCAAGGCTACATACAAGCATTAAATGGTTTGTAGACGCTTAATATATAGCTCAGTGTACAATTTGTTTATTGAGTTGTCTGTATCTGAGGTGGAAAGAGTTTACAGAAAGCAAGCCGTATATGGATTGTACATGCCCTCTACGCTGGTCACCGCGGCGACGACACCAACTCGATCTTGCAGCATTCATTCTCATGCAACCAAACTAATACCCCGTTCTAGGCTGCTCCGACATGCTTTTTGCCGATGCACACGGAAGGCAACGATTGATCGACAAGAAGCACGCCAGCACATGTTGATAGCATAGCATGTATGTCTCTTTGGCAGCAGCAGGAGCAATACCAACTAGATCACTGTGATCAAGTGCACAATTGTGGGTCGTTATAACTTGTATGAGTACGGATCATGAGTTTGATCACATACAGACCATGGATGGGCGCATGGGCATTTTGGAAAGTAAAAAGAACAATTGGAAGAATCCCTTCACTCTTTGATATTAGACGGTATATAGTCTCTCTATAACTCTAGGCAAATTTTTCCACGTGATATCAATCATACGTAATGCCATTTTACATCGCAAACACTAAATATGCCCGGTACGATTATAAAAGTGTGGATATTTACTAGTCCATCCGTTCCAAATTATAAGACGTTTTGGTTTTTCTAGATACATAGTTTTACTATACACTTAGATATATACACTATGTCTAAAGATATAGTAAAAACAATGTATATAGAAATATCAAAATGTCTTATAATTTAAAACTAAGGGAGTACAAACCAACATATTCATTATAATATTTATTTATATGATTTAGGAGAAAAAAGGGGTGTGAATTGACCTTTTCCCTTGCCTTCATCTCCTTCGTCACACGCATTCCTCTCTCTTAATCTTCTCTCTCGTCCACCGGTGCTCCACCTCCCTCCCACCCTAGGTTTGACGGAGGACGACAAGGAGGAGGAGTTGCGGCAAAGGAGTTTGAGGCTGATGGCTTCTCCGATGATGGCGAGGAGGAGAACGACACAGGTCAGGAGCCCCAAAACATGGAGGAAGAGAAGGAGCCTGAGGGGGAGGAGGAGGAAGAAGATTTGGGGATGGGGTCCGATGAGCTAGAGGTCACAGAGCTTGGTGAGCTCGGCACATAGACGTGTTAGCTTGATGACCAAAGTGTCACGGTGCCGCGCCAAAGGTCTATCACCTTGCTGGCCTTGGAGATGCACTACAACAAAAACGATTTGTAGCAACACTCTTTTTTAGGGGCGGCTCTATATTGAGTCGCCCCTACAAATGGTGGCCAAATGAGCCGCCACTACAAATCTTTTTATAGGGGCTACCGGTGTTATGAGCCGCCCCTATAAATGACCCGATTTATAGGAGCGGCTCTATATCTAGCCGCATCTACAAATCGGATTTGTAGGGGCGGCTCAATATTGAGCTGCCCCTACAAATAGATGCCGAATAATAAAAATTAAGCACTAAAATTCAAATTTTCAAACGACCTCAGATAGAGAAATGATCAAAATAAAAGTTGTAGATCTCAAAAAGTTATGTAACTTTGTTGTTTACAAGTTTTTCATTTGAAATCATTTGCTGCTTTAAAATGTTGTTTAAAATTTAAATTTAAAATTGTTTAAGAACTCTGATTTCTTTTTTTAATCTCTGACTAAAACTTGTAACTAGTCTTTCTCCATACTAACTTTAAATTTGAGGATTTTTTTTCGTAAAAGTTTCTAAAATCATGCTTTATCAATTTATTGTATTCTTACAACTATTATTTTATCCATCTTTTCTTGTGACTGTGTTTTATCTATTTGAATTTTGAATTTCAAAAAATGGCAACTTCAAACGTCATTTTGAAACGATTTCAGCTGAAAACGTAATGAACATAAAAGTTATATAACTCATCAAGATCTACAACTTTTTTTTTGTCATTTCTTCATCCGATAAAGTGATAGTAACATTGTTCACAAATGTCGGATGTATAAATGATCAAAATAAAAGTTGTAGATCTCGGAAAGTTATGAAACTTTGTATTAGACAACTTTTTGATTTGAAATCATCTTGTTAAGGAAAACTTCGTTTGAATTTCTCAAATTTAAAATTCAAATTTTGTAAACGACCTCAGATGGAGAAATTACTACAATAAAAGTTATAGATCCCAAAAAGTTATGAAACTTTATAGTTGACAACTTTTTGATTTGAAATCATCTTGATAAGAAAAACTAAGTTTGAATTTTCAAAAATTTAAAATTTGAATTTTTTAGACGACTTTGGATAGACCAACAGCAAAAACGAAAGTTGTAGATCTCGAAAAGTTATGAAACTTTGTAGTTGATAACTTTTTCATTTGAAATCATCTTGTTATGGAAAACTACGTTTGAATTTCTCAAATTAGAAATTCAAATTTTGTAAACGATCTCGGGTGGAGAAACTACTAAAATGAAAGTTGTAGATCTCGAAAAGTTAGAAAACTTTATAGTTGACAACTTATTCATTTGAAATCGTTTAGAGCCTCAAACAACCAATTTATGCTAGATTTAGAATAATACGTGGGGAACCAAAATACAATACAGACACACGTGAGTATTGAGTGGAGTGATTAGAAAAGGGAATGCACGAGCTCGAGGTCACGGGTTCGAACCCTGGCTTATGTAGCCGCCCCTACAAATATTCAACCGCCCCTAAAAAATCGATTTATAGGGGCGGCTGGCCAACCACCCCTATAAATCTGGTATTTGTAGCCACCCTTCCTCAAGGACGGCCGGTAAAACTGGCCCTTTATAGGGTCACCTGCCGCCCCTAAAAATCCCTCCTGTAGTAGTGACGTGCTATCGCTCGATGACTGGAACACCCTGTCACGGCTTAATATAATCGAGCCTTGGAGACGTGGGACCAGTTATAAGCCGGTTTAGTGGCAGACGGAAACCAGTTATAATTTGTTCCTAATTATAACCGGCTTGGTGAGCGTGGCAGCTCCTCGTAGTTTTTCGCTGTCTGACTGACGCCAACGGCGAGACAAGGTCCACGTCCATAACGATTTTTCTGCTGTTTCTGTTATCTGTGACGTTGAATCCTCTGGTGATGTCGGGTGGCACCAGTTGGATCAACCCTGTGCGTTCATTTCAATTTTGGCTTGTGGTAGTCTCGTCGTATGGTTCGTTTGACAAAACTTTTTGTAATTTCTTTTGCTTTCAAGTAATGAAATTTGGCTTTGCCGTCGTTGAAAAAAAGGTCCATGTCCATATATACTTTTCGATTGCGTGCAGAGTACGTATTAATTTGTTTCACAGGTCCCGTTCGTTTCGCTAAAAAAAAAGCTGTACTGTTCCGACTGATTTTCTGTGAGAAGAAAACACCGTTCCGCTTGGGAAAAAAAATGAGCTAAAAAAGACGCCGAACGGGCCCGCCGCGACCAACCGGCCGATCGATCCGATGACTTTTATATAGTCTGGCTAGCTCTGCGCGTCTCGTCCGGCTGTATAGATCGAGCCCTGCTGCCTACGCTTGCGTGTTGAGTGTTCACAGTATGGCAAGAGCTCTCGCCTACGGTGGAGCAGCTGCCGCAGCTGCCTTCGGCCCGCCGTGGCTAGCCGTGCTCGGTGTGGCCATGCTCTCCGTCTGGGCCATCACTCTCGCCGTCCTCCTCTGTGGCGACAGCTCGGACAGCCCGAGACGACCAAGATACAGCGGTGCTGGCGCTGGAGCAGCTGGCGTCGGCACCGTCTGTGGTGCCAGTGGTGGTGGTGGAGGGGGCTGTGGTGGAGGTGGAGGCGGCGGTGGTGGTGGAGGGGGCTGTGGCGGCGGTGGCGGTGGTGGTGGAGGGGGCTGTGGCGGCGGCGGCGGCGGCGGCGGCGGCTGTTGATAGAGTTCATCGCATCCGATGCGTCAGCGGCATCAGTTGCTGTTCAGGTCTGCAGTCAGAGGCCGTGCTCATGGATTACTGGTTGTCAATATAATTGTCATATGTATGTATGTATGTATGGTAAGAAAGGACCGTCCTTGTTATGGTTGTGCTTATTAGTTTTGCTTGTTGCCATCTTCTCTGGTGCTATTAACATGATGTAATAATAAATAGTGCATGGAAGATCGTCTTTGAATTTGTAATCTCACTAGTATCATGCCCGTGCATTGCAATAGGAACAAACTAATGCTATGATAATTTTGAACCTGTGTATTAACCTGTGAGGGCCATTTTTTGTGCAATTGCGGCACTTCATCAGATGACATTGATAACTGGGTTCTATTTTTTGTGCAATTACCTCTATTTTCTAAGGTCCATGTACATCATGTTTTACCTTGAGTTTTATCTTAAAAATATTATAGGGTACAATAATATATGCAAGAGATGGAGCCAAAATGAACAGCTTGTTCAGAACCCCTTCCATGTAAGACTGCACCTAAAACTCCTCACAAAAATTGTAACTGCGTCAATTCTGCAGTGACAGTAACTATAAAAAAAATCTACAATGACTATGATAAACTCCCTATGCCAAATCCTTCCCAATCAACCAACTGCCACAGCTGGTATCCATCATCACTCGCGTTGTGGTTTTGGAGTTCAGACTGCTGCTCTGCAGCCATCTATGAACTTCGACCTTGATCCTGCAATCGCTGCCCAATTCTTTATATTGCTTTGTCATACAAGATCCCTCTAGAGATATGTTGGGTGTCATCACCAACAACCAAAATCACCTAGAAATCAAATAAATAGTTTAGAGTTATGCAAATATTTTGACAAAATTTGATGAGTCGTGTAGGTTAGAAGCACACACCCTTTCTCGGGGGTGAAGCCAGCCAAAAGAATCAATGGGGTTTTGAAGAATGTTCATATATACAATTTGAAGGCACTATTTTCCAGAAAATTCAGTATGGTTTTGAAGGCACTATTTTCCAGAAAATAAATAGTTGATGTTGATCTCACTTGCTTAATATGTACAAATTGGAGGTTACCTGACAAAATCATATTTGTCTGGTACCTTTTACTCTATTTTATTGCTTCTCCACTAAAGTTACATGATAGTATTGAAAGAGGCACAGTTGGCCGTTGATGAATCGAAACCTTTCCCTTTTAGCAGGCACAAACTTCACCGGCTATAAATATTGGGAACCAGCAAACAAAGAGCTACGCTAACAAATCTACTTGCTAAGAGCCGTAAGTGTACATACCAACCCGATTCTCCAATTTGATTATGTTTCAATGCAACACTTTGCAGAGCTTGAATTTGTCACCTCTGAACCTGCATTCATGTCAACAACAAAAAATTATGAATTAGCAAGATATTCATGGTGGTCACCTTGATCATTTCTTTCATTTTGGGGATCCATAAGAAGCAACTAAAGTAAAATCACCCATGCCTGGATGGCTGGACCATATTCCTGAAGTATTTGGTTCAAGACTCTCTAGGCTACTTCTGACTGCAGTTGGAAGAAACAAAAAAACTATGTCCATCCAATTTGACGAAAAGGGACCACGCATTGAACATTCAATGTTTACAACTGCCATTCACTTCCCCAAGAGGCCATATTTCGTTTTAGCCACAGGATTGTCATGGAATGTACCAGTTTCAGAGAAGGATCATGCACATTGCGAGAGGTCACAACCAAACAGTTTTCTCACAGAATCCAAACATGGTAGGATAACAAGTTAGCATATATACATGATATCATCTTCTACAACTAAATTTGGCAAAAAAAAAAGACTATTTCAGACTATGAGTGTAACCAGTTAGAGGTTAAAATGGTACATAACTCACAAAGCAGAATTGAATGGCAGCAATCGCCTTGGTCGCGAATTGACGCCGCCCAAACACGAGCTCCCGTCGCACTATGGGAAATGCTTGTCTTTCAGTTGCATATGCCTTTTCTATATTTCTGCATAGCTATTGTTTCAGTTAGAGTTTCAGTATGACACCCATTTGCAAGACAGTAAGTCACAAGGATTCACCATCTCGAATGATCTAAACTATAAGGCAAGAGGCAGCAGGATGACCTTACTTTGTAGCATGAATTTATTTCAGTAGGTACATTATGAACTATCCAGATTCAAAGAACTTTGTGAACTTCATCAGATTTGCGGGACTACACAGATCTAGAGTGAAAAAAGGATATAAAATATCAGTGAAGTTTCCAAGAACTGTAGCAACAGTAATTTCTAGCTCAGGTTAATACCTTTCATTTTGGCAATTCAGATTCGGGATAACCCTTTATACACTCTTGATTCATTCTTCAATCCTTGATCAAAGCTAGTCCGTTGTCCAATTCTTCTTGTTTATGCAAAACAAGCCATTATAGAGACCAATCCAAAATCATCAACTAATGTCTCATTTGCCATTTGCCAAACATGCCTACTTTCACATGATGCTATGATATCCCATAATATAAAAGCCATTTCATTGATTCTATTTGCATTGTTGTCTTTTGCTTGAACTAGATTGTTTCCATAATCTTTCAATACAACAATATACAATTTGGCCTTCATTTCAATACTATGTGGCATATCATCAAGTTTGCCTTCTTGTTGAACCTATATACACTTTGTTGGCGGTCCTTAACTCCTATTTCTAACCACCAATTCTCACATAAAATCTGCACAAATGGTCACCAAACTTAGAATTAGGGCTTATAACTCATAAGTTCCACTAGTTTTGGTGAATTATCTTTTGCAGGATGACTTATATGAAAATCATGGAAATATGACCAAGAATACACAATCACGCAAAGCACATTTCCATCATATACATAGCAAAAGAGAAGGGATGCCCACAACTAGGCAAAACAGGGCCCAAACAAGAGGAGAACAAGGATAAGCTCAAATCAAATCACCTTATCTTCACAGAACACCAACACAGGCCCACTCTAGAAGATCAAAGAAGACCCCTGACAAAGTCAGACTCAAGGTGGCCCAACAGGGGTGCGGCCGCACCCATGCTGGCCTGCCTCGAGCCCAACCTTGCCATGTCGGTTCATACCGCCTCTCCAAAGGCGATTCACAAGGTGTCAGGCAGATTCAATGTATCTATAAGGCGGTTTGCACTTTCCATGAGGGGATGATGCATTATTCAAAGAGCCCTCTCCTCTCCACCTATAAAAGGAGGCTCCTGTCTCCTCATTTGAACAACACCTCAAGGAAGAGAGCAAGAAGCAAGACAAACACTCCAAAGAGCTTAGGCCCTAGTCGCTATCTAGAGTAGTAAGGGAGAGATGTGAGGGAAGAGCTCGGAGAAGTGCCGAACTTGTCGGTATCTCCCTGCTTGTACCTCAATGAACACCTGCACTACACTTCATCGGGTTTTCCCGCTAAGTGAGTGTTCGTGATTCTTACGGTATAAAGTCTTTTGGTTAGTTGAACTTTACTCTTACTTGTTTATAGGTTCGTCGTCCGCCCCTGTGGTGGATACTCTAGTAGAGGGCTCCTGATAAAGATGAATCACCCTGTACGACGCTAGAGTAGTAGTCGATAGCGTAGACGTGGTGTTTAGGCTAGAGGCTACCTTTATTTGCCTCGTGGCAGTTGAGGGGTAGGTGGCAGGTGGTGACAACCCTATCCGTCCCTTATAATCCCCCACGTTTGGGTTCAACGTAGAGCCATAGGCCGGTATCGCTTGGCAGACTAGGTGTATGTCGGTGCCCGAAGTGAGCAAGTAGAAGTAGAGTTTATCTATCCTTAGACCCTAAAACCATAGGAATCCATCTCTACCCTCTACCAACTCTACCCTTGTGTTGTCCTTGGACAAACTAGCTAGAAGATTACCTTCATTCCCTGTGGAAATACGATACCCTGAATACTTCCGGGTGAAATGCTACAATGGTAATTCCGTGCGCTTGCGGATTATTTCTGTATGCGTTAAGAAATACCAACACACTTCTCATTCCACAATTCACAATTGTATGTAATAAACTCAATTTCCTGTTCAACACTTAGCAAACTTGTTAAACCTTTAATGATGTTGTCATTCAATTCATCAAACCCCACTAAAGGGCTTGATACACTTATAGATATCCATAGGAGCTCTTTGTTTTTTGTGATCAAGACACCTAGTGGGTGTGATCACATTTAGGATAGATAGCCGTACTATTAAGAGGGGTGAAACTTGTATCAAAATGTGGTTATCAAAGTGCCACTAGATGTTCTAACTCATTGCATATGCATTTAGATTCTAGTGAGTGCTAACACCCTTGAAAATATTTGTGAAAATATGCTAACACACATGCACAAGGTGATACACTTGGTGGTTAGCACATTTGAGTAAGGGTGATGAAGTTGGTGAAGTCGAGGGGCTGTTTTCCCTCGACCAGACGCAGCGACCAGACTCGGCCGAGCGTCTGGTCAATTGTTGCACAGACAATGCCGCTAGGGTTTGGTGTTGGACACTGAACAAAAAGGAAACTAGACACATAGGGCCTGCGTCCGGTGAGAGGTGACGTACGCTAACATAAGCGAGAATGCATGCCCAGAGAGGATCGGACGCTGGCCTATGTCCGATCATGCGTGAGTGGACACGTCCGGTCGAGTAAAAACCTCTCTAGTGCCTTACTAGAGTCGACCGAACTCCACGTTGGCGCGGCGTTAGGTGGCGCAGCGTCACGTTCAATTGTTGGGTGAAGCAGTGAGGGTGCGTGTGATGTTGCTTTCCTGGCTTTCAATTCCTATTCATGTGATGTGTTGATGCTTGAGAAGAAGCTTTGTCACTAACACCTTACTTTCTTTCGCATAGGGCATTAACAGATAAACTATTTACAATACTTTATGTGAAACGATGCTGGCTCCATACCATATGACTTGCTTATGTAGGTTTTGATTGGAAATCCAAAATTAAGAAACTTCAAGAAATAATTCAAAAAATAGCTCAGTTAAAAGAAAGG